CTATCTATCTATCTATCTATCTATCTATCTATCTATCTATCTATCTATCTATCTATCTATCTATATCGCCGCCCATCTCACACAATGTGACTCTGGGCAGCGTACAACAATTAAAAAAAAAACATTAAAAACTATATATAAAAAACAGTAAAAAGACACAAAACAGGAGGGGATAAAATTAGTAAGGGAGCCATTGTAAAATCTCCCCAGTCCCCTGGGAACCGCAGGCCTGATCACATAGCCAGGTCTTGAGGGACTTATGGAATGTTAAGAGGGATGGAGCTAATCTCCCTTCCAGGGGGAGAAGATTCCACAAGGCAGGTGCCAACTCCATTTCATTTAACACTGAAAATTTGCTTCAGCTCTTCAGTCTATTTCACAAAAGGAGTTCAAATTTTTCAGTTAAGATTCACGTTAAGGTTTTTGGAGCTCAGGAGCCATATAGGCCATTTATTCTATTACAGGTAGTCCTTGACTTATGACCATTTGTTCAGTGACCATTCGAAGTTATGAAAGGACTGAAAAAATTGACTTATAACCAGTCCCCGAAGTTTCAGCTATTGCAGTGCCATGGTCATATGATCAAAGTTTCGGTGCTGGGCAACATGGCCGCACTTACAACTGCAGGAGTGCTTCGACTCCCCCTTTTAGCCTATCTTCCCCCCCATCTCTGCCCTTTTGGCAGACCTGCACTCTGCCACTGGGTGAGGGTGCAGCCCTGGGATGCGCACAGTGAGAGTGGCAGGGAGGCGGAGCCTCACCTGCCAAAAGGAGCTTGCCAGGCCTGGCCAGGGACGAGGCAGCGGGTTGGCGAGGCCCAGCACTATCACTGGGTAAGGCAGGAGAGCCGCCGTCGGCTCCCCAGGTAAAGGTGGAGGCTGTGTGGGAGGCGCTATTTGGGACTGGCAGCAGAACTGGAGGGACCGAAAGGATGTGGGCTCATGTTGGAAGCACTCCTGGAAAATGGGCCTGCAGGAATGCCCATTCACATAACCACCCAGGCACTGCCAAGTGTGCTGCCATTGCTGGGATATCTAAACTGCTAGGCTCCTCTCGTACAGCATCCAGGGCCAGCAGCCCTTCAGGACCTTGGTGGTGGCAAATGGGTCCCTAAGCCACAAGCATGGCCAGCCAAGGCAGCAGGCGGCTCCCTGCCTTAATCAAGGCTTAAAAGACAATGCCCACCTCCACCCTCTGTGGCCACTAGTGCGGCCTCTGCCATGAGCACTGGGGATTCATTCATTTTTACAAAACTGCTGGCCGTTTGTGAGGCTTTCTGGAACGGGCAAAATAAGCAAAAAGGCATAGGTGCACTTTTTAGTTAGTGTGTTCACCTGAATGAGGAGCAGGAATAAGTCTACGCCACAAATCCACCATGAATGAACACTTTTCCAGACTTCACCGCTCAACCCTTGTGTGCTTTTCCTAGTTGGTATTTGTGAAGAAAAGACTGAGCTTTTACTAGAGGGAATAAGGAAAGATACAAAATACAAAAGAGGGTGTACGGCTGGTGCAGAGATTTTGCGTTCAGGTTTCTTCTCTGCACTGCCCAACTCAAACACTTATCTGCCAGACACTCCCATATGGATAAACAAGCAGCGGGGTTGGGGAGACTTCTTGCATGCCTCTCCTCGATTGGCTGGTATCGTGCGCTGCTCTCCTTCTGATTGGTTGGAATATTCTGCGTACTGCCTCTGGGTAAGGCATTCCTCCCACCCTGCAAATTTCACTGACTGTTTTCTCCCCTGGTAGATTAGACTTGGCCAATTGGCCATTAAACTTTTAAGGTCTTTTTCTGATTGGCCAACCCCCCCCCCCAAAATCATGCTTTGGCCAGGGTAATTGTGGAGTGGGTAACCTTGTATAAATGAAGAAATCCCCCAGCGCACGTTCTTCTGATTGGCTGACCACAGAGGCCGGTTTTCCAGGAGTGCTTCCAACACGAGGTGCAGAGTGTACACAACTCACGTCCAGTTCATCCGTCACCCCAAACAGCATCTCCCACACAGCCTCTACCTTTGCCCGGGGAGCCGCCACTGGCTCTCCTGCCTTGCCTGGCAATGGAGAGTGCCATGCCTCACAATTCCACTGCTTTCTCCCCAGCTGGGCCTGGCAAGCTCCCTTTGTCAGACGAGGCAGGAATGGCTTGGATCAAGGTGGGTCCCTGCCTAACAACTGGTGGGATTCGGTTAACAACAGCAATGGGGACTGCTGGGATTGCCATTGCTACGTAATGCAGTGATGTGAAATCATACTTTACAACCGCACTGCTTAGCGACAGAAATTCTGGTCCCAATTACTGTCGTAACTTGAGGACTACCTGTACTATCGTATTAGAGAGCCTATGAAAGAAAAAAGAAATATGGTTTCTGGTATCATGTAGCCAGGGCCAGAGAATTTTCCAGCTTTCCCCCTCCTTATCTGAAGCATACTGGGAATTCAGCAAGTCCGCAATTCAGGGTCAAGAAATAGAACCATTTCAGAAAAAAAACAAAAACTTTTTTTAGTATATAAATCCAGATATGCCATTAATATATTTGAATAGTATTTTCTCTGCAGTTTATTCTTTTCCTATAATGTTACCACCAATGACCGTTCTTATTTTACAGATAAATTAGTTCAGTGTGCAATTAAGACTAGCCAGTTTACAGTCTAGAATATTAGTTGGCAGCAATCTAATTTCAATAGATGCATCTGAGAAGATGTATTCACTCTTCAGAGCTTTTACAAATGCAGAGAACTCCGATAGTAAAAATGTAAACAGCAAGCAAGAAGTGAGAAACAAAGGACAAGAAGTGGGACTATGAATGAGGGAAACATGAAGACGGAGCAAACAATGGTGTTTTTAATACACTCCCTGACCTACTGTTCAGAGGGAACATCTGGATAGTAACTCCCTCACTTCACTGCAACTTCAGTTGGCAGATCTTCAGCCTCATCCCAAATCAATGCCAACAAATTTGAAGGAGGTGTCAAGTAAAAGCTACAGGCTACATGGTAGGAATAATACTAGCGCTTATTTTACATGCTTGGATTACGTCTCCAAATTCCTGTGGGTTTGGGGATCAGATAGAGCATGCTAGGAGGCATAATCTGCTTTCCAAGAGTTGATGTAATACAATACATACATTAACCTTTAAGATGTTATAGGACTCTGCTGTTTGCTGTAATTTAACTTACAATAGTATGGGTGCAGGAGGAAGAATGGGGGAAATATCTCAACTACTTTGCATGTGCTTGTCCAAAATTATTCTTACAGCATGAGCAGGTCCAAGGATTTCAAGAGTGGGGAGACCTTATTAGACAACATCCAATGCAGCAACTTCCATTGCACTGAAACCAAGGAAGGCTGATTTGGGCTAAATTAATAAGATTTTATTCATAAGAGCTGCCTTCTACATACTGGTTTTACTTGGCTTTCTTTCTGACAGCAATATTTTCTATCACTGTCACTACTCTAATAAAAGTTTGGCTGGCTAAAAATGATATGATTTAAGACTAAAAGTATTGTTTTTAAAATACAATAGCTTGCTGCCTGCTAGCAGTTCTGCAGTACCCCATATCTTAACAGCATGCCTAATCTAATGAGGCACTACGAATGTTCTATTTAGATTACCTGAAGAAAAATTATAAATATTCATGTATACTTATAAATTATACATAATCTTAAAAAGAGAAATGTGTTTTCTTTTCACTACAAGTAAAATAGTAAAAATTCTTAATTCATGAGTAAAAGATTGAGCAAATCTGAATGAAAAAATGACAAATAATCACATTCAAACTTACTTTGATCTAAAATATGAAAACTGTTCAAATTCCACTAAGAATTTATAGCCTTAGCAGGATTTCTTTCAATATGTATTGTGTTCATAAACTATGCTGATGTCTAAATAGTGAAGACAGCTTCATGAAGGATTGGTATGATTAAGCTAAAGGATATTCTCATTCACAAAAATGAAACTTCAGTGCATCCTGAAAGCGATGTGTACGTAAATTCAGAGTTCAACATCTGTCCATAAGGAAGTCCATAAATAGCTGGGCCTCAAATCAAACTCTGAAACCGTTTATTCTAAACAATTTGTTACAATTATTTTCCTTGTATATACTCATTAAACAGAATATTCATATATTTTGCTATGCAATGTGTTTTGTAGCACACTGTACCAAAAGATTTTCAGTACTTTCAAAATCACAAATGTAAGATAATATTATGCAAATACTACAGATTCTTACTTTAAGAATATTTCCACTACATATCATACATTCTTCTATTTAAAACTTGCTATGCACACTTACCAATGCAGGCATGGACTCGGACTGAAAGTTGGGTTCTCAGAATTATACTGTGTTTTTTGCCCCTACTGGGGAGAACAGAGAAAAAATGTGATAAGCATAGTAGAGGGTAATTACAGAAAAACTTAGATTTACCTAATCCTATGACATCTAATGAATTTAAAGACAATCACATCTCATTTCTTCCATTAAAAACCATACACAAATATGTATTATGACATCTGCAGCTCTATTTTAAATTTAAAAGAGAACAATTCTAATAAGAGTTACATTTTTTTGTCACAGATTTGGTCTGGATTGATTTATACAAGTTAACTCTGTAGAATTTTGCCAAAACCCATACTAAACTAAACTAAACTAAACTAAACTAAACTAAACTAAACTAAGAAATATTCAGGTGGTATATATACCTCTCAACACACACCTACATACCTAGATTTCAATTAATATATATGGGAACAAAGAAAATAAATTTATGAACAATGGGCCCAACTGCCTGAACTTCTGCCTATGGCTTTGTTCGTGTATTCATTTATACTCACATATCACCTGTTCATCCTACCACCCAGGACTTCTGCTAGAGTCCTCCTTTCTTTCCCCCATTCCTAACAACTCAATTTCTGCACGAAATTTAGGCATTATAACTTCTCAAGGGCTGAGCCAGCTCAAGGTTTCTTACAAACATGCAGCTGATCCTCACTGCCATGAAGACTCTTCCAAGTTTGGATTCTAAGTTTACTAGGCCAGCTATGTAGCAGCTCAGAGAGGTCTTTTGCCTGCACTTTCCACCTACTATAAACATACATCTTGTTTTCCACCATTACCTTTTGGTCCTGGAATGTCTTTTATGCCCTTTCATCTGACCCACCTCCTCCTTCAGCTTCAGGTGGAAAAAAGGAAGAGTTTGATATGGAATATTTTCTGGATTCCAAGTGTAGGAGGTTCAAATTGCAATACCTGTGTCACTGAGAAGCATACTCTGCCACTGATACAGTATACCCTAGGAAGCAGCAAACAAAATTTATGCATCCTGTCTTCTTTGCCAATTCCATTTGCTGCAGCAACACAAATCTAAGCTTGGCTTTGCCATCTGCCTGAGTTATTTACAGACTCTTTGGATCCTGACAGGGAAGGCAAAGATCTGGGAATTCAAATTTGTGCAGGAGTTGACTTTTTAAACCAAGCTTGTCCCTCCTCTCCAGCCTGCATCCTCAAAATGGATTTCTCAGAAGGAAGGGAAGGTAACTGGGCACTTCTTCTCTGCCTTTCTGATTCTATAGCCCACACTGTTAAAACATGTTACCTAATATTTAACCAAAATAATATTTTGTACAACTTCTACAACTTCATTGTTCTGATAAAGCAAAATTATACTCACTCTTCCATTATCACCCTTCATATCCTCTCTTGCTTTAATTTTCCCTTTCCTATGCTAAAATCTGTAGCCTTTTCAACTTTTCCTCAAAGGACAGACATGCCTCTCCAAGTATTCCTCCGCTCTTTTATTTGACTTTTACAAAATTAAATATGTTATATTCTTTTAAAACTAGAGATCATTGTTAAAATCAAATTAATATATGAATATCAATGACTGTAATCAGTACTATAATTTTCACTTTTAAATTATACTTACATTTAAGTATAATTACATACTATTTAATTTTATTTACAGTGCAATGAAGATAATATAAAAGCAAAATGCATGTAGCCTTAATTAAATTTCTAGGAACCCAGAACTGGGTAGTAAACAATCATTATGCTTTTGTTATACATAATTGATGTTTAAATCAGGTAGAATAAAAATCAGCATCTGCGTTATGGTAATACTGACAGATAGATATCCTTTCCTGTTTTCCACCATGTTTCTGGCTGCAACCAGCACCTGCCCCCCGCCCAATTCTTTAGGCTCATAGTATGACTTGGCTTGTCAAAACATACTATCACACAAACCAAAAAAACCCTTAATAAGGCCAGCTTAGGGTGTACAATAATTCTGAGTTGTGATCTGTCCTATTTTTATAAAAAGGACAGTCCAAAATAATTGAAGAATTTTACCAAATCACCACCTATGTTAATATGCACCTTCTTCTTTACATTTTCTAAAACACACAAGAGTGATAACATAATTTTCATGTTAAATTTCCTTGTTAATAAATACAATTTATGAAATACTTTCATAGACTTTTCTCTAATCTTGGCTGAATTAAACCTTAGTGGTTCTCTGTGCCAATTGGATAACTATAAAATCAGAGGTAAAGAGGCTTATATATCTGATTCCCATATGTTTTCAATCCTTTCAAAAAGTCTGCCTTCTTTTCTAATAGAATGTTATGAAAATATTTGAGATTATCTCCCTATTAGATGGTGAATTTAACCTAATTTCATACTTAGACATATCACGTTGCTTGTATTCTACAGTAACTGCTGGGATTGCAGTGAAATGCAGAATTTGATGTATCTAAAACTATGAAAAAGCCAAATTTCCTAATTTTTCTGTACTTGTTCTCCAGTTTTAGGAATATCTCCAACATATAAAAAATAATAAAGTTATTGAATTTCTCTACCATAATACTGTAATTTTATGTTCATCGTAAAAAGAATACTGAAACATAAGTGATTGAAAAGGTAGTGGGTGTGGAGTTGATTTGTTGCTCTCACCACAAACCATAGTAAAAACACAGAATAAAATAACTGAAACAGTAATATATTACAATTAATCATAATGTCATAATATAAAATAAAGGCTGTCTAAAAGGTCCATGACATACAATAATATCTATAGATTACAAGTGACAGGTAAGAATTTATTTCTTTTAAAGAAACTGCACAAGGGTCCATGACAAATAAGTGCTTTTTAAAAACTTTTTTAAAAGAGTGGTGGTTTGTGGTGAGAGCATAATAAATAAAAGTACTATCATCACTATTGCTACCCCATAGGTTCAGCCATGCTGCTACAATAGTATATGCAAACCATAATGTGCTATTATAGCTAATTAATCTGAGCTAGGCTTCAGCTGACTAATTGCTCCATCATATTTGTGGTTGCTTATTTTTATTTGGTGATATCTGGAGAGAATTTAAAATGATCTTTAAAAAGCTTCAGTGCTTTTTAAAAACTTTTAAAGGATCCAGTTTCAGATATAATCTTGGTGGGAATCTAGTCCAAAGAACTGAAATCAAGTGAGAAATCACCTTAACCATGATGTGGCTATTCATCTATGTGGCTGAAGCAAATGTTCCTGGACTGATAATCCAGTTAAGCACAAAGGGACATGAGCCACTAGCTTGTTCTTTCAAATAACTGGATTTTGTTGTCATTAACTATTTTATACTGTAGAGTAAAAGATTGCTGGCCTCCTCTCCCAGAAGCACTTCAATCTACACATAATTGTTCCACCTTTGGTGATGTGCTTTTTAGTTACTGCTGCTGCCACCACCTATCTACCAGAGTGGTGCCTTTACATGGCATCCTCCTTCCAACTTTGGCATATGATAGAGATAGAACCCCACAGCCTGTGTACCTTACTGGCCAAAAAAACAAGCTGATAAAAATGAAATAAATTCTATAGTACCACCTTCTTGGCCCCATAGTGTGAAATGTGTGACTAGGGAAATAGCTCCCCTGTCTTTGGAAATAAATCAATTTGATAAGATATATACAAAATCAATTCTATAATAAAAAAGAGAAAAGTAAAAAATCCTGCAAAATAATCAATGAGGGAAGAATTAAAAACAAAGTTGTGAAATTCACAGCTTCTCAAGAAAATCTGTAATGGAAAATATAAACAAGGAAAATTAGTTCTCTCACGGACTATAAGATGTTATTGTCTGTTACCTACTGAACTATCTATGTGTGTGCACGCGTGTCTCTATGTATATTGTTATGTACAGAAAATACATATCAGAGACAATATATATCAAAAGCCATAAAGTTTAAATAGCTACACACATTTCAAAATAAAAGAAATATTATGCAACAGTTTTAGCTCAAACTTGTTACTATTCCTTAGGCACAAATTGTGGCAAACATCTGCTTGCTTCTCTGGAATTTCCAGTTTCCAATTGATTCCAACCTTTAATCAGATGCTCAAGAATAATGTTCCTTAATTCCTTTTCCTTTACAAAGGGGAAGATGCTGGGAGGAATCTCCTGCTGTATGCTAAAGTAAGGTTTGAAACAAAGTGATATTAACTGGGAAATCCCACAGTCTGCATGACAGTTCACAATCTGGAATACCATGGAAAGCACATCAGTTTTGCAAGACCACTAATCTTTAATACATCATATAAAAAAACCTTTGCCACTGTAAAAACTCCTCTATGTTTTAACTTAATGTTTTCAATAAATATTAGCCCCCCATCCTTCAAAAAAGATTTATAACCAATAGTTCTTAACCAATAATTTAGAGAATGCATTCCCCAAATGTTGTTGCTATTGAATATATATATCATTCTGTATCAAAAACAGATGTTTTAACCATCCGCTCTGTTCTGCAATATACAGTACATGTAATAATACATCACACTGCAATATCAATTTTGTGCAATTCTCTGGTAAGATTAAATAAAACTGTTTCTAAAGCTTGTATCAAAGCACGTGAGGTACAAGTGCTCTACCAACCCTAACTCTAGGTGGATAAAAATAATTAATTCCTTACCCAGATTCTCCCTGGAAACCTTCCAAGTCATCCTTTTGCTCAGCTAGGGTAGACTCTAAATCCAAGTAGGTACCATTGTGAGACAGCTGCAGTGCACAGTCATCAAGCTGAAAAATAATTTAACAATTTAGAATTTGTTGTTGCAATAAGACTTCTATCCAGCAAACCATCTTACATTAACACTATAAAGCAAGGAGAAATCAAATTGTTACCATTTTTACTTTGCCCTCCACACTATCCATTCCTCTCAGCAAATAATAATAAAAAAAACACACACTAAATTGGAATGACCAGGGAAATTATGGTTCCTACTGCAGGACTGCTTGTTTAACTGCAACTCAAAGGCTACTTCTCAGGATTCTTTTTTAATAACTACCACTCTTATTCATTCAAATAAGATATTCTAGCATGTTCGCTAACATACAGTGGGGCAAAAAAGTATTTAGTCAGCCACCAATTGTGCAAGTTCTCCCACTTAAAAAGATGAGAGAGGCCTGTAATTTTCATCATAGGTATACCTCAACTATGAGAGACAAAATGAGAAAAAAAGACCTGCAGAGAGCTGGGACCAAAGTAACAAAGGCTACCATCAGTAACACACTACGCTGCCAGGGACTCAAATCCTGCAGTGCCAGACGTGTCCCCCTGCTTAAGCCAATACAGACCTGCAGAGAGCTGGGACCAAAGTAACAAAGGCTACCATCAGTAACACACTACGCTGCCAGGGACTCAAATCCTGCAGTGCCAGACGTGTCCCCCTGCTTAAGCCAATACAGACCTGCAGAGAGCTGGGACCAAAGTAACAAAGGCTACCATCAGTAACACACTACGCTGCCAGGGACTCAAATCCTGCAGTGCCAGACGTGTCCCCCTGCTTAAGCCAATACAGACCTGCAGAGAGCTGGGACCAAAGTAACAAAGGCTACCATCAGTAACACACTACGCTGCCAGGGACTCAAATCCTGCAGTGCCAGACGTGTCCCCCTGCTTAAGCCAATACAGACCTGCAGAGAGCTGGGACCAAAGTAACAAAGGCTACCATCAGTAACACACTACGCTGCCAGGGACTCAAATCCTGCAGTGCCAGACGTGTCCCCCTGCTTAAGCCAATACAGACCTGCAGAGAGCTGGGACCAAAGTAACAAAGGCTACCATCAGTAACACACTACGCTGCCAGGGACTCAAATCCTGCAGTGCCAGACGTGTCCCCCTGCTTAAGCCAATACAGACCTGCAGAGAGCTGGGACCAAAGTAACAAAGGCTACCATCAGTAACACACTACGCTGCCAGGGACTCAAATCCTGCAGTGCCAGACGTGTCCCCCTGCTTAAGCCAATACACCCCATTTTGTCTCTCATAGTTGAGGTATACCTATGATGACCCCATTTTGTCTCTCATAGTTGAGGTATACCTATGCTGAAAATTACAGGCCTTTCTCATCTTTTTAAGTGGGAGAACTTGCACAATTGGTGGCTGACTAAATAGTTTTTGGCCTCACTGTATATACACAGTGTGTAAAGTAACCAGTCAATGGTTATTGAAACCCATTAGCTTCCATTAGAGATATTTCAGACACTTCATTTTCACTCTTTTGTGTTTTTAAGCTAAAAATTGCACTGCTAAGCTTTTAGCATTTTGCTACCCAGTTAAAGCTTGCGCAATCTTGTGTTGTTTCCAGAATTGCAAATGAGCTACTAGGTGGTTGCATTTAGCCCCTAGGCTACAGGTTGTCTTCTGTAGTTTGGATACTTACTTGCATTAATTATCTCACAAGAGAATATGAAGGGGGAATTTTTTGCCCATTTACTTCACTCTTGGGGAGTGGGTTTACACTTTAAAATGTCAACATAATTGGAGGGGTGATAAAAAATAATCAGTATTTTCTCCCAAAACATAATAGAAAAATATACAATTCAATTCAGTGACGTTAACCCACTGCTTCAGTAGCTGCAGTGGCTAGCACTATGTTTCAGGATGCTGGTTCACGTTTCTGGTCACCAGATTCCTGGAACTGGTTATCTAAGAGTCCAACTTTCCTGAATAGGTTATGGCAGGCCAATGTGTCATCTTCTCATTTTTAAAGCATAGAGACCTTTCAGAAGCAGATAACAAACTTAGATCCATTCCTTAAAATTAGGAGACTGACTTTCTTTCCAGTTACATAAAATTATCTTATTTGTTATAGCCCAAGCTTAATAAGGCCAGAGCTATTTATAAAACAACAATTTCCATATTTTAAGATCCTTAAATAAATTTTAAGATCCTTTCTTTGACTGATTTATGGCTTCACATGTGAAGATCCAATCATTGGTTAAAACTGAGGTATGTACCTTTTTCAGGGCAGGGGCCATAGTTGATCTTTTTGATGGAATGCCAGATATCATAAAATGGGGAGGGGTTTGGATCAAAATAAATACATGTAATTAAATGCAATGGTCTCAGCAGTTGATGGCATCTGGCTGACCTCGTGGGTTTGAAAGCTAAGCAGGATTGGCCTTGTTAGTATTTGGATAGGAGATTCAATTGAATTCCAAGGCTACATGCTAGACTTGGAAGTCAGACATTCTGGAAGGAAGCACTGGAAATCATTTCCATACTGTTGCAAAGAAAGCTGCGTATGCCATGACTATGAAGTCACCAGGAGTCAAACTTGACTCAGAGGCTCTGTTTCATTAAATACAATTACTGTATTTAATAGTCTTCCCTTTATAACTTATTCATGGGGGGTACCTGCAACATTTGGGGGTCTGCATGCAGCCCTGTGGCCTCATGTTATACATTCCATGATTTAGTACAATTAATTGAACCTACAATTTGTGGGGGGAAAGCACACAGAAGTTTGCAGAGAAAAGGTTTTATAACATCCCAGTAGTATTTGTTTTTATTAATCCAGCATTAATGAAATGAATGAAAACAAAGCAGGTTAACAATGTTTATTGTTAACTTTAGGAACTAAAAACTTTGCTTACACACAAACTCACGCAAACCTACCCATTTCAGATTCTAGCTGGATAGGCTAAGTTTGCGTTCCAGAAGAATCAAGACAGGATGCTGTACCTCAGTCAGTGTAATAGCTTTTTACAACATCCAGTTAGGCTAGGCCAAGCCCAGCTTGGTACTTTTCTCATGCCTCCTAGTATTTTTACACTTGAGTGCCACTGCTTCATGTAGTTAATATGAGAGCTATTCCTTGTTTTGAGAACTGTTTGTGTTTTGAGAATCTTCTCTTCTTGTGGCTTCTTAGAAATCTTCATTTGGATACTTTTTTACACACTGCAGAAACTGATATTTTCCATAATGGACCATTCTGCTTCTCTAGTCTGCATTGAGATGGTTTCATGTACTCCATCTTTTATACATAGCCATTCGTACCTTCATACAAACATGCGGGACAAAGTATATGTATAGGAATTAAACAGCTACAAATCAGTATGCATGATAATTACAGGCCATCACTGGTAATAATGTGGTGACGGTATATTTATAGTGGTGCTTAAAAGTTGTGAACCCTTTTCCATTTTCAATATTTATGCATAAATGTGTCCTAAAACTTTATGTGTTTAAAACTAGATAAAGAACCCAATTAAACAAATGAGTCAAAAATATTATACTTGTTCATTTACTCATTGAGGAATAAATGCAGAAATATTGAAAATTCAAAAGGGTTCACAAACTTTTAAGCACTAGTATACTGTAGGTATCAACCTAAGATTTTATATGTATTAATTATACTGTATTAATTTTTAAATCTGTTTTAAGTGTGAAAAATAAATACTAAAGAAGGGAACATTTAAAAACAATTTACAATATAGTAAAAAAAATTAAAGCATAAATAATTCAGTAAAGTACTCTAAAATAACATGCTAAAAATTACAAAAGAGCTTTAACAACTAAGATACAGGATATAAATCAGAATATACATCAGCACTAATTTAACTAAAAGTCTGGGTGAATGTCTTAGGCTGGTGTTGAAAGCTTTAAACAGCTTAGTGCCAACTGCTACCTGAGTGGTGAAGGAGTCTACAAAGATGTTTTTGTATCCAGAATATCCTTTCTTAAATTGCACATAGCAATTTGCCAGCAGATGACTCATCCTTAAGAGGGCATCTCCATTAGATGTTAGTTGAAAGAAGAGCATATAAGGGAGCAGGCACTCCTTTAAGGTCCAAATTCTAAGCCATATCAGGCTTTATATACCATAATGAATAACTTGAATTTGACTCAGGAATAAATTGTCAGCTAGAGCAGCTGTTTCAGAAGATGTGTAATATATTCACAATAGGCAAGTTACCTGAGTTATTTTGCACTACCTGCACCTTCTCAGGCAATCTGAAAGGGTAGCATAATAATCCAATCTTGAATTTACCAAGTTTTCCTTGTGCAGAAATGGCCTCAGTGGTTTCAATCTCATCTATCTCACCAGATGTTCTTGGTTTTATGGAAAGGTTCCATCTCCCATTATCAGCGGGAATTCCTCAAGTTTGGTTTTGGGTCCTTTGTTATTTCTTTTATGCACTCTTCCCCTAGGCCCCTGTTTTTGTCTTCCCAGTCCAATTATTACACAATGACTTTCAGGTTTATTCATCTATCCATGTTCTGGATGATATAATGCGGACATCTCTTCCCAACTATTTAGGTAGGATTTTGAAGTGGATGTACTACCAACAAATTAAATTGATCTGGATAAGACACATATTATTGTATTCTATCCTGATCATTTCATCCCTCCCCTTCCTGTTTTTGCTGATTTTTAATGCTGCTAGTTGTGGGTCTCCTTGATCATGAGGAACCAAGAGCCCAAATCAATGACATACTTATGGCTTATTGAAATATTGTTCAAATCTGTAATTTCCATTTGATGAATATTTTTAAGATCCATTAGTTCCTCAGTACTGAAACAACTAGGCAATTGGTTCATGCCCTGATTCTGTCTCCCTGGGATTACTGTGGCAGCCTGTTAACCAGAGTACCTCATTCTGCCTTTTTTTGTGTCCAGAATACTGCTCTTCGTACTATTCTGGATTTTCCTTTTTTACTTCTACCTCTTTTTATTGCCACCCATTATACTAGTTAGGTATTCATGAAAGATACTATACCCACTCCTTGT